GTGTTGGGATTACATGTGCCACTATGCCTGGCTAGTATTATTATTATTTATTTATTTTTTTAGGAATCTCCATGCTGATTTCTACAGTGGTTGCACCAGTCCACACTCCCACCAACAGTGGAGAAGGGTTCCTTTTTCCCCACAGTCCCACCAGCATTTGTTATTGGTTTTCTTTTTTTTCCTTTGGTCTTTTTGAAACAGAGTTTCACTGTGCAGTTTAGGCTGGCCTTGAACTCACTTTTGTAGCTCAGGATGGCCTCAAACTTACATCTTCCTGCCTCAGCCTCCCAAGTGCTGGGATCACAGGTGTGTACCATCACATCTGGCTTTCAGTATTATTTTAATTTGCATCTCTGGAATGACCAATGATGTTGAGCATATTTTCATATATTTATTTGTTGTTTATACTCCTTCATTTGAGAAGTGTGTATTCATTTCAGATGCCCATTTTTGGACTGGGTCTTTAAATTTGAGGAGGGGTCTGAATTGCTTTGAGTTCTTTATATACCTTAGATATTAGTCCTCTGCTGAGGATCAGCTGGCGTTTGTCTCTTCACTCTGTTGGTTTCTCTTGCTGTGCAAAACCTTTTTAATAAGATGAGGCCCCATTTATTTATTCTTTGTGATAGTTCCCATGGGGGTTCTGTTTGTAAAGTCTTTGCCTACACTATGCCTCCAAGAGCTTTGTATAGTCTATCTTCCAGCAGCATGAGTGTTTGTTTTAATATTTAGATCTTTGAACCATTTCAATTTTAGTTTAGTGCATGTTGAAAGATATGGGTCTAGTTTTAATTTTTAGCATTTGGAAAGCCCGTTTTCCCAGCATCCTTTTTTTTTGGTCTTTTTTGAGACAGGGTTTCACTATGCAGTTCAGGCTGGCCTTGAACTCCTTTTGAGCCTAAACTGGCCTTGAACTCGCAGTGAGCCTCCTGCCTCAGCCTCTTGAGTGCTGGGATTACAGGCATGTGCCACCATGCCCAGCCCCTAGCACCACTTATTAAAAAGACTATCTTCTTCCAGCTTCTCCTTTTTCAAATTGTAGGCATTTCTTTGTTTTCTCTTTTTCTTTTCTCTCTGTGTGTTTTGTTTTGTTTTTGTTTTTGTTTCATTTGTTTGTTTGAGACAAGCTCACCATGTAGCCCAGGCTGGCCTCAAACTTGCAGTGATTCTTCTGCCTCAGCCTCCTGAGTGCTGGGATGACAGGCGTGGTAGCTTTTTTGTTTTTGTTTTTTTATTTTGAGACAGGGTTTTGTTAAATTGCTAAATTGCCCAGGCTGAGTTTGAACTTTCCATCTTCCTGCCTCAGTCTCCCAGAG